GGCTTCCACCCTGCATGGATGGTGTTATTTGGCACCAGCCTGGAATTACTTTCCTTCTACACCACCTGGACCCTCCCTCTCTGGCTATGGAAGCTATTTCCCTGTCAAACCTTACAGAACCCATGTGCTGCTTCCCCAAAGTCATCCCACAATAAATGAACTGCAGACTGTCCTGCTTCCATACGATGTGCTGGGGGGGGGTAATGGTAGCCAGAGATGGTGCCAGGTCCAATCCAGGTGACCCAAGTGACAAGGTGAGGGAGGCTGCCTGAATTGGCTCGTCCTTTATCTCAGAAATATATGAACATTCTAGCATGTTTCCAAGCACTGGTGGAGCAAGGCTTCTTGTCTTGTCTGGGATGTTTTCTGGGTGGATCCTGTGACTTTGGGGAGATCCATCTTCTTGGCCACAGTCTCCTCCTTGTGCACTGAGGGCTGCAGTCTCATCCTCTAAGTGCCCTTGGCAAGAACAGTCTTAAAAGTTGTAACTTCTGAAAGAAAAGTTTATCTTGTTTTAAATAACCTCATTTTTCTTACATGTATCATCAAACTTCTCAACAGATGTGTTGCTATTTTCTGCCTCTTACTTTCACATCTTCATTCACTGCTCAGTAATTTATAATCTGGCTTTTTCCTCCAACTCCTTAAAATAATGTATTATAGGTTGTGCACAACCACCTGAATGTCCAGTACAAAGGAATCCATATTCAGTGCTCATGTTCCTCAAATTATGGAACCATTCGTACTCTTGGCAACTACTCCACACCACTGCGCATCTATTTTTTTCTCTCTTTCCTCATCATCACTATCTTTTAAAAAAATTCTTGACTCATGCCTGCTACTCATCTATATGATCTACATACATTGCACCGCTTTCTTTTTTGGCTATTTAAATAAGAATGCTATAGAATTAAATGTATTAAAACAAAGCCATGTACAGGAAAATAGCCAACAAGGCATAGGGTCCCTGCCGTGCCTCTCCGGGCAGGAAAGAGAAAGACAGCGCCAGGTCTTGTGCCACTCTAGGAAGCTCTAAACAGTACATTTCTGAATGCTACATGTCACTGTACAAGATGTCATTTGAAAAGTGGTCCAAATCCTCCAGTGAAAATGGCTTTTCAAGCTAAGAGCACAGGCGGCTCCCTGACATGGAGTGTGTGGCCTCAGCCCCTGCACTGGAGTGGGAGGGTGGTGGCGTCCACCAGGCGGTGCCTCCACACTCCGGCCACTGAGCACAGAGGCTGCTCTGCCAAGGCCATGGGGTGAGGTGTCAGCCACTGAGGGACTGAGCTATATAGCAAAAGGCAGCCCCTCGGCATTCAGGGCTTGCAACACCAAGGAGGACCCGCTGAGGGCTCCCTCCAGTGTTAAGTGCTCTGCGATGACGATGGAAAGACTTACTGCGGAGTGACTGCTTAGTATTGCTTTTAAAAACCACTAGATGGGCTGGGGATTTAGCTCAGCAGTTCGGTGGCCTGCCTTGCAAGCGCAAGGACTCAAGTTCAATCCCCGGTACCAAAAACAAAAACAAAAAAAAAACCCACTAGACTTTATAAAAATTCCTCCCAGTAGATCACTGAATCTATAAAGCAGAATTTCACCAAGGACCATTTATAAACCACTAGTGTGACACACGGGTGCCACTCCTATAGCGGTGGCTGATAATACTGCAGTAGGTTGTGGAATCAGGGTCTCACGATAAAGTCTTCATTCGGCCGGAGAATGCATAGTTGGAGGGCAGCTGCAAGCTCAGATGCGCAGCAGTGATCCGCGAGCAGGCGGCCGGGAGCTGAAAGCACCCAGTGGTTCTCAAGATTTCTCCCCTTCTTCTTTAGTCTCAGAAATTCTGTCTATAGATTTAAGGATTTTGGCAACGAGACTCAGCGTTTCAGCTCCAGAAACCCGCTGCTTTATGGACACCTGTGCGCTGTTCATGACCACACGGAGGTTCTGCCCGACTGGTCAGTGTTCTGCTTCACCACCGTCAGGCTGGCGCCCTGGCCCGACCGCGGGGCTTCGTTCTCCCACTTGCAGTTAGAGACCTGTGCCTGCAGCGAGTTCACTGCCTGTTTCAGCTGCAGGATGAGGTTTTCTGCCTTCGCGGCCCGTTTGGTCATTAGCTCCAGGTTCTACTCCACCTGCTGCACTACCGATTTCAGATCGCAGTAGTCGCTCCCCTCCTCGATCATCTTCGCTTCTACCTTCTGCTCAAGCGTCCTCACCATTTCTGTTTGAGTTTCAGAGACTCTGGACCTCATTCAGCTTTCTGCTTAGCTTAGAATTCTCATCTTTCAGTGCTTCATAACTTATCTGCAGCATCCGCAGCTGCCTCCTCCCAGGGACTCTCCGTGAGCTGTGAAGTCCACGCCTGGACTCCCAGACGGGGACGCTAGGGACATGCGTGAGTCCTTGTGGCTTACGGTTCATGGGGGCAGAAACTCGGGCCCCCCCAGCTCCGACAGGGAGAAGAAGAAGCACAGTTAGGTGCCTCAGGGGGATGTGTTGGTGGTAGCCCGGGATGAGCGAGTCTGCTCCACATGGATGGCAGATAGGCCCCTTTCCACCTGTCCTCCTTGTCTTTATCCTCATCCAGGAGGTCGCCCACCCTGGTCAGATCTTCAGAGAATGGTTGCTGATAGTCTAGGCTGAAGCCCACAGCCTGGGCTGTGGGGAAGCCAGGGTCCAACGCCTGGGAGCTCCTTGAGGCTTCCTTTGTGTAAATTCTAGGGTGGCTCATGTCATCTTTCGACAGGCTGAGGTTCTTGGTTTTCAGAAACTCTTTAAAAGAGAATGGATGGATTTGCCTCTTCAAGATCTTCAGGTTTCTCATCATCTGTCAGCACGAGGCTCTGCCCCGCGGCTGCTGAGCCTCCAACTCCGGCAGCCGCTTCCTGCACTGGAAGTGTGCAGGAGGGGCTCCTACTCTCTAAATAAACTACGGGTTATAAAAAATTTTTGCTTCCCAGTTCTTGGTTCTAAATCCATCTTTCTGTACTTGGTGATCCTAGATATGGAATTCTACAAACCACCTTATCTTCTTTGCTGGTTTGCGTCTTCCGAGGATCTCCAAATAGTAGTCACTAGAGAGGTTACACCAATGAAAGCCAAAGGAAGAAGAAACCGAACTTCTAACTTACCTCTTGTTCCTCTCAGCACCACATACCACTATCTTAGGAAAGCTAAGACTGCTGCATGCACTTATTATGGTTCTCATGTGCGGACTTAGGGCGGGACAGCTGCTGTTGAGTGAACTGCAGGACTCACAGACACATAGGAAAAGTTTGCGTGGTACCAACCTAACCAAAGTGTCTCTACAGTGACACTAGAAGAATCATCTCTTTCTTCTAGTTACAAGGCTGATCTCATAGAAAATCAGAAACAAAAAAGCGGGCCAGGCCCTTCAGTTGGAGACTGGATACAGAAGATGTGGTTTTTCTATAAAATGGAATACTACTCAGCCATAAAGAATAAGAAATTACTCATTCATAGGAAAATGGATACATATTGAGGATATACTCCTAAGTGAAATAAATAAGTCACACATGTGTAAATACTGAATAGTTTCTCTGGTGTGAAAAACTTTAATAGTACATAAGATCCTAATGATATAATTGACAATGTGAAATAGGAAGAAAAGGGATAAAGGTGTAGGGAAAGTGGGAAGGGTAGGGGAAAGGTAATAAGGGAAAAGGAAAAAAATGAGAAAATGAAAAATGGAAATTAAGTATTTGTAAATAGGAAAGAGAGCAGGGGGTGAAGGGAGGGCAGGGATAAGGGGAAAAAATGAGACCCAAGACCTGTCATGTAAAGGTACAAAGTCCCAATGATGAATGCAACTATACTGTATACCTAAAATGTACCAATAAATTCAATGAGAAAAAAAAAAGCAGGCCAGGGATTTAGCTCAGTGTTTGGCTGCCTGCCTTGAAAATGCAAAGACCCCGGCACAAAAAAACAAAAAAGCAGCTATGAGAGTTCTATAACCTCCATGTAAGTTAAATCCATAGCTCACCAAAACTCTTATAGAAGTTAAGAGCATCGGTTACAGAGGGTGGGCTCTGAGTCTTAGAATGAGCACATATGAGAGATTTAAAGACAGCTGAGAGTCTTCACGTCCAGAGTCACTCTGAGCTTCCCTCTGAGACACAAGATGAGAAAACAGACTCAGAGCTCTGAGTGGATGTGTCCAAGCTGCTCCATTAAGAGGCAGCATCCACATCTGTGCCTGTCTCCCTTGCCTGCATCCAACCTCTTACCTGATCTCTCCTCCCCTTTCTCAGTTGCTCTGGCTACACTGAGTTTCCTGCTCTTCCTCCAGCACGGCAACCTCAGGGGGAGAGCACTGCCTCGCACACTCCACTCCCTCATCTCACGGGGCTCTTACAAGCACCCACATCTCCATTGTGCGAGGGGATCCATGCCCAGCTCAACTAGAGGGACCCCTGCTCCCTGCACCCCACCCCTCCCTATCTAATGAGATAGATGCTCTATCTCATCACTATAATAATTCCTTCATAGCACTTGTTTCTCTGTGGAATCGACCCATTAAAATCTCATTTACTAACGTATCCTCATCTCCCCCACTGGGCAGCAGGTCAGTAAGCATTTTGTTTACTGTTTGTTCACTGTTTGGTTCACAGAGATGCTCAGTAAAAACCTGTCAACTCACTAAGAAATAAACACTGCTGCCTAGGAACTGCCATACACACTGGAAAAAAGGTTGAGGAATGTCACTCCCAAGGCCCACAGTCCCTCTCCCGTGGGAAAGATCCCCAATACCCAGAGGCGGAACTAAATGGAGGAAGTTAACTCTGCAAACATTTTCAGCAACCATGGGAATTTAGGATCACTGACTGCAAAATGAGCAAATAATGATTGATACCTCCTAGAGAAAATTAGTAAGAGGAGGACTGGGGTCCAAATGCAGAAAAGAAAAGAAGAGAGAAAGAAACTTCCCTCACTTTGAGGAAAGCAGAGGAATCAGAGGAGAAGCCACCTTGTGTGAAGAATGAAATTAATAATCAAACAGGCTGAGTACGCACTCTAAGAAAGAAAATTCCTACACATTTCCTCTTCCCTCGTAGCTGGTGTTGAAGGCAGGTGAGGCTCTGAATGGCCGCTCATTATTAGTGACCTGCCTTTCTCTTCCCTCTTGAGACCACTCATTTGAGGCTGGCTTGATGAGCTTGGTTCCTGCCCTCTTGGGGTCCGAGGGTTCATGGTTATGGTGAGATACGCAGTCTTTGTCATGCCTGCCGGATCAATTCGAGCTGGGTGGAAACTTTATATTTGCCACATGTGTCCCACGGAGTCTTTAGTGACCTGTGCAGACCTGTATAGGGTATGAGAGGAAATGTAACTGACAAAAACAGGCGTGCACAGTCCCAGATGAAGAGCAAGAATTATAAGTAAATTTATCCTGAAACACAGGGAAGCTTCTAGAACCTTCTCCCACCAGACGGTCTGGGTTCACCTCCCAGTCCCAAATCTACCGGCTGTGTGCCTGTGGAAGGTGACCCCCGAGGCGGGCCTCCATAAAAGTCTGCCTTTATTATTCCTGCCTCTCCTTTTCATGGATGTGACCTGATCAGGGAGACAGCATCATGTTGGGAGCGGAGCCGGGAGGGATGGGAAAGCTGGTGGAGAATGAACGGCAGCTCCTCTCACCTCCCCCCAGGTCTGGCTGCTGGCTCCTGACTCAGTTCACCACTCCTTTTCCCAGCTTGGTGGCTTGGAGTGTCTGTGCTTCTGCAGAGCATAGAATAGCACCCAAACTATCAAGGATTAATTAGGCAATGACAAATAAAGCACTTCACTACCTCAGAGGCTGATCAGAAATCAACAAGCCACCAGGCATGACAGCACACACCTGTAATCCCAGCATTCGGGAAGATTGCTATAGGTTCGAGGCCAGCCTGGACTACAGAGCGAGTTCAAGGCCAACCTGAATTACATAGCAAGACCCTGTCTCAGAAAGAGGCGGGGGAGGAAGGAAGGGAGAGAGAGAGGAAATACAAGCATCATCATCACTGTGACCGTTTCAGCTAAGCAGTCCCCACACACCGTGAGCATTACAATCACCAAGAAGTTCATCTCCAGTGTCCACCTGGGGAGACTTGGACTCAGTGCCCAGAGGTATCCCAGGAATCTACATTTCTACAAGTCCCATCCCCCACCCAAGGCGTTACAGTGCAGCTCAGCACTCTAGCTTTTTCATTTAACCTTTCCCTGTCCGGGGTGCTCCAGAAGAGGCAGTGTGAGCAGCCTCTGTCAAACCCAACGCTCCATTCAGAAAGGGGCCTCTTCCCCCAGGTCTTACTGCTTTAAGGCAATTTATCTTTGGGTTAAAGTTCCAGTTTCCAATCACCTCTACTTGTTAAATACATGTGCACACACACAGGGAGAGGGCTGAATGAATGAATGAATGAATGAACGAATGAGAAAATAAATAGTGCATTCCCCTCCTTAGAAGAATAATTTTCAGAGTGTAGACTAACCCACATCACCTCCCTAGAGCCATAGTTCCCAACACACACACACACACACACCTGCACATGCACACATTCACACCAGCCTTGTCCGATCAGAGTCTGGAGCCTGCATTTATTCTTCTGCTCACTCTGCTGCCCCTAGACTTTGCCACCTAGAGCAGCCTCAGAGCTGCCGAGGAAGCAGCATCCAGACCAGGCACTAGAGGGCGACTGTGCACTTAAGCTTTCCAGGCCCCTGGTTCCACTTTGGAGGCTTCTGGCGCCTCCCCATGGCTCTGGATGGCGCCTCCCTGCAGCTGAGGCCCTCCTCTGGGTACAAAGGAGCAGTCATCTCAGCCAGTACCCCAACCACATTGGCTTCCTGTGGTCCTCCCGCTTTCCCAGCCCCTTCTTGCCTCAGGGCCTTTGCCCTTCTTGTTCCCGGCTCCCGGGTCCAGGGCGGGCTCCATGCCCTCCTCCTGGACTCTGCTCAAAGGTCACCGAGTCTAAGACACCATCTGTGGTCCTGGTCTACAACGACTGCTCCCAGTCTCACACTGCATTTCCCGCCTTGACACATTTGTGGTTCCTTTATTTGTTGTGCAGTACCTTCATCCTGTCCCGATTCCCTTGCTGGACTATGAGTGGAGAAGCAGGGCGCCCACTGCAGAATCAATTCGTTGGCCTGCAAAATAGAAGGACGGGCTGAAGGGACGGATACACTGTATCCAGGCCAAACTTCTGGAGCCAATTGTGCAAGGGACAGGGAGGTCAGCAGTGCACCCCCGGGTGGCCAGGAAGACCTTGGAGAGCAACATTTCTTAGCCTGTTGCATTCTTTAAAAGGATACCAGTCTCCTTCCTTTTTATAATACTCCCCCCAAAACTGGTCCTAAGGAAAACCACATGAGTAGTAAAGGCGACTGCTGACTGTAAGATGACTGAGGTTCAGCAGCTCCAACGTCTAGAGGATGTGGTGTCTGGGCAGTGCTGGTGAGAAAGAGAGAGCCCACTAAGTTCCAGTTCACCCAGGCCTGGCCGGGAGCTCACTGAGTCTCCCTGTGTTCCCATCCCCTGACCTGCTGGGTGTGAGGGTGAAATGAGATTGCACACAAAACAGGCTGTGCACAGGAAATGAGACCCGGCACCTGACCTGCAGCCCTTCATCCTTTAGGGAGCAGCTTAGGAAGGAGCACCCCTCACCCCCATCACCCCCTCTGGGGACCAGTGTGTGAGGAAGAGGAGGGGGTGACTGTACAGTGTGACTGAGCACGTTCCTTTCCTCTTACCTCCAGCTCTCCCTCCACCTCAGGTCCCAAATCATCCAAGAAGCAGAGGTAGGAGTTGAACCCTGGTCACCAGGACCCCAGAGCTCCTACTCTTCCCAGAATATGATTCATGCTGGCTCCACACTCAGCTCCTGCCCCTAAACAAGGCCTCCTGTTCCCCTAGCTTTGATCTCCACATCAAACATCAAGTTCTGAGCGTCTCCACCCTCCACAGGTTCATGTCATGAGAACCCAGGGCCCCAAACCACAGTGGTGAGGAGGCGGGATTGACAGCATCCTCTCGTCCATGTTCAGATAACCAAAGAAAACAAGTCGATGCCTCCCAGTGGTGCCCGCTGTTCTCCAATTTTCTTCACACACATACACACACACCAAAAAAAAAAAAAATCAACGGATTACACAAGACTCAGAAGGCTAGAAAAGTTCACTTGAAAGTAATTGATATTTTACAAACATCTCCAAATGGGAGTGTGACCTCTGAGATAGGACCTCACATAGCAGAAAGGCAGCACCCTGAACGAAGCTCTCAACACGCTCTCTTACACCCTGGGGTGGACTGCCAAGCACGGACCAGGGATCAGTGCTTCAGTGACATTTGCAAAGATCATTGCTATCCTTTCCCTGAGTAGGGACCTGCACAGCCCCTAGAGCCTCAGAGGGAGAGCATGGGGTCTCTGACACTCGTGTTAGTTTCAGGCCTCACAGCAGCATAGCTGTGGGACCAGACCTGTGGGGCTGCAGTGCTGACAGTGAGCAATGGGGAGCAGGGGCAAGAGACAAGGTTTGAGAAGGTATAGGGTTCCTACTGTGGACTCCGGGGCTGTGTGTTGCTCAATGTGCAACAGAAAACCATGAAGAGCTCTGAACAGAGGGGCAGCAAGGCCTCAGTTACACCCTCAAATTCTTTGTCAGGCTGCTGTGCAGAAAAGGAGCTGTAGGTGGCCAGAGATGCTGGTGTTCTTGTTAGAACCCTTTGCAACAAAATTCAGGCTACCACGGTGGTGGCTGAAAAGGAGTCATTAGACGGGGTCTGAATATGAAAGTCTTGACAAATGGTTGGTAGAAGAAGGGAAAAGTGGAGTCATGGGAGACTCCACCCGCTGGAAATGGAACCACAGAATGAGTTGTGAAGCTATCTCTTGAGATGATGAGACCAGCAAATTTTACCTCGATTGTCTCAGACCACCTGCACCCCACAACCTCAGACCTATCTCCAAGGGAAACTTGACACTTTGGCTTCGAGCCTTCCTGTTCTTTCCTGTAAATCTCATCCAGAAAAGTGAGATCTAGCCATCCATCCATCCTATCATTCACTCATTCATTTGTATCATTGCACACACACTCATTAGCACCTGCCACGTGGTAGACATGGGTAGCACTGTAGACACAAAGATTAGTTAAACACATCTTCTGCCCACAGGGAACTTACAGCTTTAATGCAGATTAGAGACCAGTCATCTTCTCAGTTATGTAGTCACTCAAAAATATTCATTGCCTTAATTTCTGACAAACAAACACAGGGGCAGTGACTGAATTTGGGGAAAGCTCTGGACAGTGTAGCATCAGCCATCCTCACTCCCTCATTCACTGAAGTCACCAGCATACTCCTGAGCCAGGCTCTCAGAGAAGACCTGTTGGTGACCCAACAGTGGGCCCTAGTGAGCGTCTCCGAGCAACCACGCCTCCCTCTGAGCCCTGCAAGCCCCAACGCCCACCCAGGCCTCCTCCTGCCGGCCATGTGAGTAAGCCCTGGTTGTAGTTGCCATAGCCCACTACGCCACCTCCCCACGGTACGCTGGGAGCTCACTCCGGTGCCATCTTCCTACAGAAAACCATGAAGCCATCCAGCCAAGCAGCCACCCTCTCAGCCGTCTGCCCAGAACCCATCTGACCATTCTTGATACCAGCAGATGCAAGAGCCCAAGATGCGTTCATTCTGGAGGCTCCTCATCCTCCTTGCGTTGCTGCTGGCTTTGCCCTCAGCTCTGCACAAGCAGCCTTGGCCTGGCCTGGCTCAGGCTCACCCAGACAGCAAATCCACCCTGGCAAGAAGTAAGCTCATTCTGTGGTCTGCCTGCTGACCACCGGGCAGGGAGGGGGAAAGTGGGCCCACCATGACTACCAAGTGACCTTGGGTCCGTTCCTCACCTCGTCTTCTTTTTTCTTAGGCCCCAAGTGTACCAAATTGAGATTAGTGTCATCTTTGTCAATTCATAGCACACATTGTTATCATGAATCACTGCAAGGTCCCTTTTTAATTTCCTCTTATTGCTTCCCCTTTCTCTGTCTCACTCACCTTCCCCTATGGGCTGGGCAGGCATTGCAGTGTGTTTAATGTGCATGTGAATGTAATGTAGACATGGCTGCAGCCTTCCAATGCAGTATTCTTATTTACGAACCTGTACGGCCTTGTGTAGCTCATTCTGGTTTTACTGTCTCGCTCCCCACTCACTGTTGACACTTTGCTCTAGCTGCTGCAGAGGGGCCCAAGAGGGTCATCTGCCTCAGTTTACTCAGCTGTCACCTTAGAGATGGATGCTCAGGTTGTCTCAGGTTGACTCTCCGCTATTTGTACACGACCCTGTGATGAACACCCTTGCTCTGCCCCTGTTAGAACATACGGGAGAAGTGCTCTGGTCTGGACCCAGAAGGAAGCTGTCTGGGCCTATGGTAGATGTAAGCCTGATTTAACTAAAACTGTCCAAAACCTCTCTAAGAATGGCTGTGCCAGTCTACACTAGCTCAGGTAATAAATGGGCATTCCTGTCTGCCCGCGTCCCTGCAGGCCATTCTGGTGTGTTGGTCTGCCAGTGCCACCACAAGACCGGGCAGCTTAAACAACAGACAGTTATCTTCTCCCAGTTCTAAAAGCTGCAAGACCGAGTTCAGAGTGCTGGCAGGGTTGGTTCTGGGGAGGCTCCTCTTTCTGACTTGTAGATGCCACCTTTTCGCCCTCTCTCATGGCCTTTTGGAGAAGGAGCTCTCCGGGGTTTCTTCCTCACAAGGACATCAGTCCAGTCAGATTAGGCCCAACCTTATGACCTCATTTATCTTGTTTTTCTTTACCTCCTTAAAGGTCCTATCTGCAAACACAATCATATGGGGATGAGGAGGGCAATATGGTAAACAACACCATCTTTTCAAATTTTCTGCCAGTCTGAGGTATAGTTAAATGATACTTTTGCCTGGCTTTATCTGATTCTGAGCATCTCATTATACTTTTGTTAACTGTTTCAACTTTTTGAATTCCCTCTTCTTATCTTTTGTCCCTGTTTCTATTTACTTCCCTGGTTTTTTATCCTCTTTGATTTTGAGGAGATGTCAATTTGTTCTTGATGTTGGTCTCCTATCAGATTTAAACACTGTAAATATAACAGTTCCTGGGTATCCATGAGGCATGGATCCAGGACCCACCCCCACCTACCCCCAAACTGGCAGATGCTCAAGTCCTTATAGAAAATGAGTCAATATTTGTACAGAATTTATGCACAGCCTCCCATGTACTTTTTTCTTGCTCACTGAGTTTATTAGTACATGTGCCTCTCATGTACTTTAGATAACCTCTAAATTACTTGTAATACCTAACACAATATAAACACTATGTAAATGATCATTGTTTAGAAAAAGTCTGTGCCGGTTCCAAACACCCAAATATTTTAAATATTTTTCCATCCACAGGGAATTGAGTCTGCTAATGTGAAACCTGTAAATAACAGCAACTGACTTTTTTAGGATTTTGTGATTTTCCATAAATCTACCTATTTCAATTAGGGTATTAAACATATGGTGTGTGGTTGTGAACTCAGGCATCTTCACGCTCTCACCACTCTATACTGGGGATAGATAGAATGTTAGTCCATGCAGCTGTTTCTGAGGCTTAAATGAAGGAAAGTGCATGCAAAGTGCTTCTTTAGCTGTGCATATATTTATCATTTCAATTACCTTCACAGTGTCAGTTAGGATACCTAGCTGGAAGTAACAGAAAACCCTAGTCAATCTCACTTAATCAATTTTTTAAAAAACAACTTACCATTTCACAAGACCAAACATCACAGGTAGGACAAGATCTAGGTTGTGCTCAACCAGCATCTCAAACTTCCTCCCTCCTACACCGCATTTGTCCATTTCTGAGCTCCACGACCATCACAGTTCTGTGCTCAGGTTTGTTCCCAGCAGCATAGGAAAATAATGACCGGTGGCCATCATAGCTCCAGGCTGTCTTGCTCCTTTCCAACAGGAGAAAGAAAAGAATCTTCCCCCAAACACAGAACATAAAATATTAAGCTTGATCCAATTTAGGTTAGACGCTGACTTTGAGTCTGAAAGTCTCCACAGATGAGCCACACAATGTTGGTTCGGATAATCAGTAGCTTCATCTGGATCAGAAACTGGAGAGAGAGACTGCATCAAATCAGGGTTCAGATGAGAAGGACAGGTTGGATTGATAGATGAATGGGCAGGAGGGTGAATGAATGGATAATGGATAGATGGATGGGTGGATGAGGGGATAGACGGGTAGGTGGATGGATGGATGGATGGATGATGGATGGATGGACGGATATTGGATTGGCAACCATGGGTGTTTAACATTCACAATTTCCCGAGTGGTACTATCATCATGGATTAATAATTGCTAAGAGGTTTAGGCATCTCTATAGTTTCACTGTATCCTTGAAACTATTTGTTTAATATATATCTCCTACTAGCCAGGAAATTTGTTTGTGTTCTTAGAGCCCAACACAGGATCTCACACCAAGGAAATTCTCAATAAATATTTATTGAATGATCTGTCTCAGTATTCCTCACAAGAGCCCTGTGAGCTAGTTGTTATTATTGCCCCTGTTATATGAGACCCAGGGAAACAACAGAAGCAGGATCTGAACTCAAGTTTGTGACTACAGACACACTCTTTTGTTTGTAGATGACAGAAGCAAAGGGCACCGAAAGGAGGGTTGAGGCCTGGTCCTGGGAGAATGGGAGACACACCACTGGTTTCTGTTGCTCTGCAGTTACCTAGATTTCTTAGTGCAGGACCTGGTCCTAGATAGGGCAAGTCTGTGAAATAAATGTGCCCTGTAGCAAGCTCCAAGCCTCAACAGGGCTGGGCCCCCATCCAGGACAGGAGAGGCTAGAAGCCAGAGAGGCAGGACTTAAGCATATTTTAGCTTTGAAAATCCCCTTACTTTGGGGGATTCATTCCTTTCTGCTAGAAGCTGCCCTGGTCCCTGCAAGCATGGAGTGATTGCACTTACTCACTCTGTATTCGCCTATTTTTGCCTACTTTTGTCTTCAACCAACATTTATTGTGGTCTCCATCTTGTGTATTAGCTCTGGGCTCTAGATGAAGAGAAAGAGTGAAGGAAGAATTCACCCAGAGTAGCTCTTTTGCACTGCTGCTGCCTGTCAGGCTCTCCACAGCATTTGGTTTTGTTTCACATATCCATCTTGCAAATCACGGTTGCAGCTGAACAATGTAGCTCTCAGTGGGGAATGCAGTGCAGGGGCTGATCTCTCAGCAGAAAGAGGGTGCACCTGCCTGCCCCTCAGGCTTCCCAGTTTCACGTCTCCCGCCCTTTCCACAACACTGCACAGTATCACTGGCCCCTTGTACCTTTCCAGTTATTGCCCAAGGTCTCATGAAGCACAATGCAGAGGACCAAATCCGGAGCATCCACCTCCTGGACAGTCTGAATGACTCAAGGCAGATGGTCCCTGGGATGGTGGGCTGGCTGATTGGTGGCACGAAACTCCCGCAGCAGCAAGAGATCAGGTGAGGCCCTGAGTCCATCCGTGGCCTTAGGATTCTTTGCAGGGCTCTGGATCAGAGGGCAGAGCTGGGAGGATGGAGGTACAAGACCTATGGAGAGGGAAGAGAGACAGGATGAGGACAAGTGGGGACTCATGTGAGGGACCATTTGGGGAGGTAGCAGAACAGGGTAATTAACAGTGATGGTGCAGAAGTAAACACATCTGCATTTAAATCCTAGCTCTACCGCTAGAGATTTAGCTCAGTGGTTCCGGCGCCTACCTCGCAAGCTCAAGGACCCAAGTTTGATCTCCGGCACCAAAAAAAAAAAAAGAACAAAAAAATCCTAGCTCTGCTACTAGCCTTGGGAAAACTGCTCATTAGTTTTGGACTCATCTATAAAATGGGAACACAGGGCACAACCTCAATAAACACCTGTGCATCAAAATAGGTCGGGACCACAACCAGGCACTGGAGTCCGCATTCTGTTGCTTGATAGCCAAGGGACTCTGGGCCAAGCACTTAAATGCTCTGAGCTGAAGCCTTGAGTCCTCATCAGTAAAACAGGCATGATGGCTGTCTGTGACTCCGGGAGATGCTAGGAGCTTTTAGAATCACGTATACAACTTCTCAGGTGTGCTTAGCGGATACAGTAGCTGTGGTGACTAGAACTCAGCTGCAGGAGCAGTGTTGTCCTGCTCACATTTTCCTCCTCAGACCGGGGCAGGTTCCTCCACTCCACTGACTCAGGCTACTCACTGACAGCATTGCTGTTCCGCCTGCTCTTCCCCAGGGCTCTCTTCCCTCTAGCTCCAGTCCCCCCTTCTCACCGGTTTGGTGAGGACCACCAGTCACCATCAGGGATTTCCATGATGTGCACAGCCACAATCACCTCCCTTCACTCGCTCCTCTCACAAATGTTACAGTCATTCACTGGGGTCTCCTGCAAGCCAGGACTCGGGCCCTGGGAAGACAGCTATGAATAAGACATACGATTACTACATTTTGAGAGAAACTTGCATCCTAGTTAGCGAGATAGGCCACAGAAGGTAAATAATGAATTTTAGATGACCTTCCCCTGAGGCCATGATAAGAAGACGGGTTTAATTAGGTAAGGGGTGTGAGAGAGGGGAATGGTGGCCCTTGAGAAACTTGCACGAAGAGAAGAGAACAAGTGACATGAGGGACACAGGGAGAGTAGGTTGGGTAGAGGGGGCAGGAGGTACAAAGCCCTGAAGTGGGAGAGAGGCAGTGTAAAGGACAGAGGAATCCCGTGCGGCTGGGTGGACAAGGGGGAGAGTAGTAAGAGCTGAAGCTGCAAAGATGAGTGGGGAATTTAGACTTGATTCCAAGATCAGCAAGAAACCAGGGGAGAATGGTGAGGGGAAGGGAAGAGCAAGGGCCTCTCAGGCTGCCTTGTGGAACACAGTCTGGAGAGTCACCAAGAGGTTTCTCTTGGTGGGGTGGTAGGCAGGGGCCAGAAAGGAAGAGCAGCATGTTCAGGGAGAGGTCAGGTGACCAAACCAAGTGGGAGCAACAGAAGGGCCAAACTCGGGACGCACTTTGCAAGTAGAGCCACCGAGCTTGCTGAGGGGAACAATGTGGGGGTGAGGGATAGAAAGAAGCGAAGGCTCCCAGGGTTTGGCTCCCAGGCAGTTGGTGGACCCAGCTCCTGAAGAGGGAGGCTCAGCCTGAAAGCAGGGTCTGGAGCTGTTTGGGGCGCTCTGGGACAGCTGGCAGTCCAGGGCTCCCGTGCCTGGCCTGCCCGTGGCCCTCGGGGCACTTGGAACTGGATCTGAGTCCAAACCCCATCAGCAGCCGGGCTTTGCAGACCAGCCAGCCTTGTGGGTCTGCCCCACAAGGCCTTGCCAGGCCTGAGGTCGACCACACTGCAGCGCCTCTGCTCTCTCCCTCCTAGCATCGACATCACCAATGTGCAGCTGGACTGTAGTGGGATCCAGATGTCTTTCCATAAGGAGTGGTTTTCTACAAACGTCTCGCTTGAATTTGACATTGAATTGACCCCGTGAGTTTTAAAGAAGCTGCCGGCAGGAGGCACTGTTCCTCCTCACTGGGAGCTGGGGGGAAACTGGGAAACCTGGGAAACGCAGATCTTTCTAACCCCAACCTGAATTCATATCTGGGCTTCTGAACTCACTCACTGTGTGACCTTGGGCAAATCGCTTCCTCTGAGTCTTGATTTCTTAGGCTGAAATGCAGATGACAATCATTAGGGAAGGCTGGTTGTCCGTTCACTTAAATCTAAGTGACTTTACCTCCAGGGCTAAGAAAGAAGGGACAGCCACTGGGATTGTCTCATCCTGTGCTCACCCTCCTGGCCAGGCTGTCCCTGAACATCCACAGTCCCAAGGGAAGGGGGATGTAGCTAAGTGGAAACTATTTTTAAAGTAGAGCTTAACTCTCAACTTTTGAAACTTTTCAAAGGCTTTTATACTGGTCTCCTTAAGGGACTTTCAAAAGTCATCCTGGAGCTGGGGCTGTAACTCGGTGGGAGAGAGAGGACCTGAAGCCCTGGGTTCCACTGGGGAAAAATAAAGCAGCACACATGTGAACACTTTCCTCCCTCACACTGACTTCAGGGTCTCGCTTGCCTGGTTTGTTGGGAGCACTCTGGGGCCAGGAGAGGCCCTGCCAGTGCACAGCGTGTGTTTTGGCTGACACAGAGAGCCCCTCTTTGTGCTGGCTGCTGCTCCCTCCTTCTGTTCCTTCTGTCTCTCCCTCCCCACCTCCTGCTCTCTTTCCCGCAGGCCCTTCAATAACGACAGCACCGCCCTGCACACAAGCATGAGCCTTGCCGCAGAGTTCTGGCTGAAGAAAGACGAGTTTGGCCGGAGGGATCTGGTGGTGGGCCCATGTCGCACGGAGCCCAACGTCCACGTGACGGTTCTCGCTGAGTAAGGCCCCAGCTGCAGCCTCACTTCCCCAGCCCCTCCTGATGAGTCCACCACAGACCTCGCCCCTTCCCCTCCTGGGTCCACAGGCAGCCATGCCTCTGCCGTGCTCCCAGAAGCCAGGCTCTTCCTCTGCTCTCCCTCACTGGGACCTCACCTCACATACTCCATTCTCCACCAGGCTGCAGAAGTTACTGTCCAATGCAGAAGTCTGGGCTTGTTCCTGCACTTGTTCCAAAGCCTCCAGTGCTTCCCAATGCCCTGGGGGTGAAGAGCAGACTCCAGATTGTTACTCGGGTCCCCTGTCATCTCCCCTGCAGTCCTTTACCTTGCAGTGTTGCTGAAAGACCCACCCCTCCACAACACACCAGGCAATGTTGCACCACCGTGCCTTTGCATAGGCTCGATCCTTATGCCTGGGAGGCCCTGCCTGTTTTTTCTAAAGCACCCCCCCATCACTCCATCATTCATATATTTCCCATTCATATATTTCCATCCTGTGCCACGCACCTTGCCTAGTGCTACGGACACAGAGGTGAACAAAACAGAACTGAGAGCTGTGTGAAGCTGTATAGTCTGGCTGGCTGATTGAGTTGACCTCAACAGACCACAAGATTTGCACTGATTTATCTCTGTAATTTCACAGTGCCAAACAGTGACATCCTCAATGGACACCTGCTCACTTATTCTTCAGCTGTTCACTGACTCCAATTATACCAGACATTCTGGAGAAGACAGTGAAAGAAAAGACCAGGGACTCTGGTGCCATCTTTGAGCAGTTCTGATAGAATCAGCCCTTCCTTGCTGTGTGTCCTTGGGTGCTTACTTCACCTCTCTGAGTCCCCTTTTGACTGTTGTTGACAATGGTACCTCTTCATGGGACAAGGCCAGGGTGAAAAGACCTTAAAGCATGCTCCGCAGTGCCTGGACTGGTCCCTTCTCTGAGCAACTACCACTTTCCCTAGGGCTATCACATACAAGATGAAACCCTTTCTCCACAACCTCAAAGAGAACATAGGAAAAATTATCCCACATCTGATAGAAAATCAGGTAAGTTTGAGAAAAATATCAGCACCTTGGGCATCCTTGGGCCTGAGGGCCAGGGCATATATATGGGTGAACTAGCAGAGGCTTTCAAACTTTGGGCTGTAGAACCTGGAAAATCCCAATGGAAAACTTGAGTTTTGCCAATGTGTCCTTGGGCCTGAGCCTCAGTTTCCCCTTCTGCAGCAGGGCCCCCATCACACTGCCTGTCTCAGAGTTTGGCGAGGACCTGGACAGACAAGCATGGGGGTGCTGTGTGTGGCACATGGTGTGTGGCTGGTGCTCAGTGTGAGGCACTTTCACCCTGGTTCCTGCTAGAAACCCCCAGCCTCATGTACTCCAGGGTTCTCCCGGGCCCTGGTCTGACCTTTCTCTCTGTGCTGCTGGACCAGGTTTGTCCTCTCATCGGCGACCTCCTCAGGCAGCTGGATGTGAAACTGTTGAAAGGCCTCATGGGTAAGTGCCTGGTCTCTCAGGAGCCCTCCCTGGATTGGCAGGTGCTTAGGTGGGGGTGGGCACCTCCACTGCTGCCCCCTTAGAAGGCCTGCAGAGGACGTCTGCTTGTGTTTCGAGAGAATGTTAGAGGGGACCTCCAAGAGAACTGGGACAGTACAGGGGAACTCAACCAGGCAGGCTGTACCCCACCAAGTCACCCAAGCCATCAGGATACCGGAAATTCTAGCTTCTCCCAAGAGCTCCACCCAATCTGAAGGCGCTCCAGCCCCACCCTAACCCCAGGACATCCCTAAACAGCTAACAGTTTCAGTCCCTGCCCTCACCAGCTCACAGTCTTGTGAGTAAATGCTAGGAAGTAAATCATTCGATGCCATTTGAAAGGAGTGACATGAATGCTCCTGACACCAGCTCTGGCGGATGGAGGGAGAGTTTCCTTCAGTGTGGTCCCAGGGTTAGAAAAATCACCTGAGGACTGCTGCCCCTCTTTGTTACAGAACAGGTGGCTGCCCATGAACTTGACCAACCGTGAGTCCAGCCAACATCCGTGCACCAAGTTCAAGGGTCCTCCACTGCCTGCTGTTGATCAGAAGGAGATTCTACCTCTTGAGACCCTCAGTCTCCTCAGCATGGGGCTCCTGCTGAACCTGGAAACTTGACCCCAGCCCCTTTAGACATCCTGTCCCACAATAAACTGTAGCTCTAAAGATTGCACTTGTTCCCCCTGCCTGGGCCCTGAGCTTTAGGTCCAGGAGTCAGACCTGCTGAAGTGTACATCCTGAAAACAAATATTCCTCAGATGCTCATCAGCCTAGAAATACTAGAGAAAACAGTCTGGACCTGTATATAGTAACCATTCACAACTTTGCCATGAGGGCCTTAGATTTCACATTCGCTCATTCACTCACCCTATATTTACTGAGCACCTGTTATCCACCAAGTACATTGCTGGGCTCTGGGGGGGGTGCAGAGACAGGGTGACAAGAGTGGAAATGAAAAAGCATTGGTACAAAAGGACCTGAGTTCAAATTAGATTCAGCCCAAGTAGGAGTTGCATAAGGGCCCACATAGTTTGGTGACTGACAAGTCCTATGCCCCAGCCCGGGGCTAGCATGAAGTGTGAGCTCAGCTGTGGGACCTGACTAAGCTAAAGTGACTCCATGCTGATAGGCCAGAGACTGTGCTTCTTCATACACTAATTGCCAACTCGGTTAACAGCCCACCCAGGGACAAATGGTATAACAAAGTTGACCATAAAACATCTGCATAAGATAAGCAGTGTGTTTGGAATCTTGTCCTCTGGTAGTTCTGTGAATGCCCTGACTTTTTGCTTAGAAAAACCCTATAAAAAGGATCTCAGCCCCTGAGCTAGTGCCTCTTTGAACTACTTGGCTCCGGGAGTGCTATCTGGCCAGACTAATAAAGGTCTTCTTATTGGTGTGTTGTTCTCCTGGTGATTCTCATTCCTCCATCGAGCTCCCAGAGCCTCACTGAGCTATAGGTCCCAGCATTGTGGAGGCCCTTTTGGCTGTTCACGGCTCCCGGAAGTAAGGCCCGGGGTCTTGCTTCCAGAGCCTTCATTGGGCTATAGGACTCAGCATTGTGGAGGCCTTTTGGCTGTTCACACTCCATGGAGTGGAAGTGAGACTTTAGGTCTTACATTTTTGGAGGCCCCAGCGAGATCCCAGGTGGGAACTATAAATACAGCTGAGTCTTCCCCATAGCAGGATCCATCAGGAGAATTCTCGGGTAGAGACCTTGAAAAGCCTCCGGAGGTAAGCTTTGGACTGGTTGAAACCATTTGTTGTCAGGATCAAGGTGGCTGATGAGCTGGGAAGCCTCCCCTGGCCCTGGCCCTGAGGAGGACTCCAGGTAAAATCAAAGCTTTTTTTGTGGAGCCTGTTTGTCTTGTCAGTGTCTTGTCTGTTGTGTGTTAACTTTGTGTTTTCCTTGAAACAGGGATGGAAGGATCCAGCTCCAAGAACACCCCACTGGATTGCTTTCTCACTAATTTTAAATTGTTTTTTTCCCCTGAGCAGGAGAACGAGTATGGGATTAAATTCTCTCATGGAAAGCTTTGCTCCCTGTGTCAATTGGAGTGGTGGGCTCCTTTGAGCCAGGCCTCTGTTGGGCTGTATGGGGAAAAGTCACCAGGCACCCCAGCCACCCCAACCAGTTTCCTTATATAAATATTTGGGTCCAGTTTTATGAAGAGCATCTGGCTGCATTGGCCAGGAAGGAAAGGGGTAACTGACATGACCCATGTTGGGCCTCGACCCAAGTCCCACAGTAGAAAGCAACTGTCCACCTCCTCAGAAGGGAAGAGGTGCACCCCTGGAATTTCCTGGGTTCCCTTTCTAGGACTCGGAGGCCAGCTCACCAGTAGCAGAACAGAAAGAAGGCAAGTGAGTGAAATCATCTGTCTGAATGGTGAGATCCCCTGGGTTGCTTCCTAGTTTGTCTTTGGAAGGGGCCCCAGGAAGGAAATGTGTTAACTTCTTGTGTGACTATGTGGGTGAGAGAGACTTGGTTAAGAGAGTGAGTGCAACAAGCTACGAAAGCCATAGGTAGCCTTGTTGTGATCACCAAAACAAAGGGAGGGGGCGCTTGCACTTAAAGAGCCCTCCCGGAGTTGCGGAGCTTGTGTGGGTCAGTCCTGCTAGTCTGTGGCCATGCTTAGAAAGGACAAAACGGAGACTCTTGCAATAAGAAACTCTCCTGTAGTCCAAACGGGCCTGAAAGAGCTGGGAAGTTCACAGCTAGGCTGACAAGTGAATGAGGCTGTTTTCTGGAATGGCACCCCACCCTTTGTTTGTCTTGCATCACCAGACAAGGGAATATCTAGTGGTCGTGGGGAATGCTAATACTAAACCAACTGTTTTTAAGTGCATAATTCAGAATTTTGATAAAGATTTTGTGGGGGACTATGAGATAAAACTGCAACCAAAGATGCTTAAGAAGCTTTGTGAGTTATCATGGTCTCAGCCAAGCCAGACTTGGCCCCCAGAAAAAACTCTAGACAAAAGGAAAGTTATCTGCCTTTGTTTTGTTTACCTGAGACTTTGACAACTTGGAGCCTTGTGTGCTCTAGGAGCTACTCAAGCTTCTGCTCCACAGTAATCAGCTGCTAGTGAGAACTATTTAGTTTTGGTCTTAGAACACCTGCTTGCCAAATCTGCCATTTTTCCCATGGTGAACTTGCCTCTCTCAGAAAATGTGACAGCATTGCAGGCAGATCCCAGTGTTTCCCCTTTGGAGGAGGTTGAGCTGCCTCCCCTTCCCTGAGTTGCTAAGATCGAAGGTGTGGAGAAGGTGGGGGCAAAACCAAAATTGTTTAGCTTTACTGCACTGGAGGGTGCAGATGGGAAAGCATGATGGGATTCAGAGAAAATGGAACAGGGCTTGCACTCAGATTAGAAAGAACTAAAATGAGAAAATAAATCTTCGATAGATTAAAAGCAGGTAGAAAAACTCTGATAAATACACAATAAAGAAAAAAAAAACACTGCAAGCCAGAGAAACTACAATTGTGTTTTACCAGACATCAAGAGATTTTTACAAGAAAAAGAAAGTTAGAAATTTTAACTATTTGATAAGTGTATCTTTGTTTCATTTTAAATTAGGTTTAATTGGTGTGCTTAAAACTCTTCTTGTGCATTGCAAATTCTTGAATTACAATTATAGGGTTAACTTGCTCTTTTGTACTTTGTTGATAAAAACTCCAGGTTAATGCTGTTCTATAGGTAGCCAATCAAATTTTAAGATATAACAATCTGAGAACAGAAAAAGAACACTAAGATTTTAACAGCTGAAATTTGTTATAGAAGGTTAATAGTAAATGAGACAGAGGAAGATATTAGGAAAGCTATGGGTAAAAGATATGCTTTTGATATGAAAGGATTTTTGTATGTTTGCCTTGTTAGAAAGAGATAAAGATATACAAGACCAGAAGGCCTAAGTATGTAGAGGTATATGGAAATGACTTATGTATGTTTGCTTTTGGTTTCAAGTTTGTTACAGAAGGTTTACTTTTATAGTAACAAAGAGCTTTCATTCCTTTTGATTCTAATTTCATGAGCTCTGTTAATTTATCTGCAAAAGTTTTGACTAGTCTTAACTAAAAGAGGTTTTAGGGCTAGAGATTTATTTAGCTCAGTGGTGCTACCACCTGTCTTGCAAGCACAAGGACCCAAGTTCAATTCCCAGCACCAAAAACAAAGAAAAATAAGAGAGATTTTATAATTCAATTGGCCAAATACATTTGAGTGTATTAGTTTCATAAATGGTCTTATATGTTTGTCTGTGTCCAATTGTTTGAAAAGTTTGTCCAATTATGTTTTGATTGAAATGACAACAAGGATACTAATAATTCGTTAATTTCTATAATTTCATCTTATAAGTTAAAATTTTGTCAAGATAACTAAGTATAAACTCAGGTCTAGATAGACTCCTCTTAATAGTAAAAAGGACACCTACTCAGAAAATTTTATTCTGGTCTTTATTCACTAATGGCCTTCTGAGAAAATATATCCCTAATAAACATGGCTAAATATGTTGTTATAGAATGTTTATGTTGGTTATCATCAAAGGGTTAGATTCTAAATGTTATTATGATATGTTTATAATAGTCATTTTCAAAATATGATGTTTTCTGTGGAAAAGTTATGGAAAGATTTTTTTTGGGGGGGGCTACCGGGAATTGAACTCAGGGCCTTGCACTTGCAAGGCAGGTGGCAGAATGGAAAGGTGTTATTAGAAAAATGCTTTTGACACCTAATTAGATTAAAGGTTATGAAGTTTCATACATAAAATTATGATTATTGTTAATTTTCAGAGGCACTAAATAAATAAAAACTTCACAGGGTATTAAACTATTAGTGCTGCTTCAGGAGGCAGGATATAAAGTTTATGCTGCTTGGAGATAAAAGGACTTAAAGCAGATGAGAGAATTTTGGGGATAAAATGTTTTTACAGGATCTAGATTTTCTATATGTATAAATCTTTACAGGGCCCAGAAAGACACTGATTATTATAGGGTAAAAAGCAAGAGTCAGCATTTTAAACAGCTAAAACTAACTCTGCTGCCCCCTGTATCAGGGATCCTAAATGTGACCCAGCCTTTTGCTTTGTACATGACTTAAAAAAAAAAAAAAAAAAAAAGATTGTTCAGGTTCCCCATGCCTTTTAGAACTATTGAATAACAAGATATTGATGGCTCTCAAATAATAGAGTCACATAATATCAGGACCTCTTCTGTGAGAATTACCACCTATATTTTGCTCCAGTTAAAACCTTAAACCCTGCTACTTTTTTGCCCTCGGAATCTGGCCCCCTGACAACAACTGCCTCCGGGTCACTGATGAATTGTTCTCCAGTCATCCAGATCTGCAGAAAGACCTGCTGCCTGGGGCTGATTTCATCCTGTTCAAGGATGGGAGCAACTTCATGGAAAATGGGGTATGCTATACTGGCTATGCAGAGATGACTCAAGATGAAGTGGTCCAAGCAGGACCCCTCCCCACTGGATGGTCAGCTCAGTGAGAAGAGCTATGGGCAGTCATACAGGATCTCTGATGGGCAAAAGAAAAGAGGGTAAATGTTTATACAGATTCCTGTTTGCCACTTGGTATATCTATGGCACAGTCTATACAAGTGCGGTCTTCTCACAGCAAAGGGCAAACTTATTAAAAATAAACAGG